TCTATTCATAGCCTTCAAAAGCTGCCAAGCCGCATCTGTCAGGCCCGAGAGGACTCGAAAGTGCATCTTAGGTAAACACCAGGAGCAAGGTGGGATTGCCCGGAGTTAGTGGCATTTGCTGCACTTCTCCCTTGGAAGTTTTAGTGCATCTTCTGCAAGTCATAGGCACATCTCCAACACAAGGTCTCGAGCAAAAGCGAAGTCAGGCTGAGACATCAGATTGTAATTCAGGCACACAACATCCCCGTGTTCAGGATTAATAGAGAACAGTCCCCTGCAGCAAGGGAGAAGTCCTTTTAGGAAAGGAAATGAGGTCCTTTGGATATTGGAGTTATTGGACTGGGACCAAGCTCAGCCAGGCTGGATGTTCCCAGACCGCCCATGGTAGCTTCAAATCAGCTGAAGACCTGTCACATCTGCTGGTGCCTGGTGTGATGGCTCCAGGCAGCACTGTGGGGACTCTGCCGCAGGGACACAGTGGGGAGCGATGGCCAGAGGGGTTTTATCTACCACCCACTCCGGGTGTAGCTGGGGGCAGGCACAGTTGCGATGTGTCGACCTGATGCCCATGAGAGGCATCCAGGCTACAGCACGCAGAGATCCCTGCTTGCACCACAGCTGAGGAAGGTGATGGATTTTTTTCCCCCTGCTTCTTTGGGCTCAGTTTGGTTTCAGGGAGGACAGATAGGCTTCTCCCAAGCCTGCAGTCCCACATGTTTCCGAGTGAGCGAGATGATCATTGCAGGGGTAGTTTGAAAGAAGTGGGGGAGAGATCCCTCCCATGGAGCATGAGAAGTGCCTTACACCAGAGACCCCAGGGGACAGCTGTGAGAGCCCATGCACACCATGGAAAGAGCAAGCCATCCCACCGCAAGCGTGTCCTGCCTCCTGGCTCCGCAGCCTGCTCCCAGGTCCTGACTCACTGCAGAGCCATGCACAGCTGGATATCCACCCCCTGCCCCGCAGGCCTCTGGCTTACAGCTGAAAATCTGCAATGACATCAACTGCTCCTTCTCCATCTGCTTCTGGCAGAGCCAGCACCCTGTTTGTCTGCATTGCCCAATGAGCCAGCTCACCCCCAGTCCATCTGCAGAGCACTGAGGCTCAGGCTCTCCTGGTCCAGGCATTGGAAGAGATTGGCTGGGTGTCAGTCTGCTCCATCTGGACCAGGCATCAGTCCTACTGCTGAGCCCAGGGGGAGAGTCCCACCCCACTGGGAAGAAATCCTTGCCCCATGTAGGACAAAGCCACCCTCGGGCAAGTTCCCAGGACAGTTTGGGTTCATCCTGCCCTGTGCACGTGGTGCTTCCAGTGGTCATGCATCTGCTTAGTGCGAGTCTAGAGAGCACAGCCTTTCTGCCTCTGATCTGCTTCTGAAATGCAAAAACCAGAAATCCTCCTGTGGGACCTGCTGACACACTCCCAGATAGCAGCAGAGCTGGGACATTCCTGGGATAAGCAGATTCCTGTCTGCTCTGCACTTACTTGTCTCACTTGCCTTTTCCTGAGCTGGGTGCTGAGTTCCCACCCCAGCAGCCACTGCCTTTCCCCACGCTGCCCTGTGCCTGTGAGGAGCTCAGCCTCCAGCCACACACGCAGCGATGAAGACTTAGTAAATGACATTCCCGCAGTGGTTGCAGGGCATCCTGTTTATTTATATGCACTTTGGGTTCATTGTTTTGCAGCAGCATCCACCAGCGATTAATGCAGAAACATCCTCTCCAGAAAAACTCATTAGAGAATCCCTCCCAGAGCAGAGAGGTGGAAAGGCTCCTTAGACTGACAGATCTGTGACTAGGAGACAGCAGGATTATTAATCCTCACTTGTATCGCTTCCACCAAGCTGCTCACTCGCATTTCTCCTTCTCTTGCAGCAGAATTGTTCTTCTCTTGGAGAGCACTGGGATTTTCTCAACTGCACCAGCCCAGATCTGCCCAACCGGGCTTAAAATGGAATGAAGAAATTTAGATTTTGAACTGGGGTTAGCTGGAGTTCAAACCTCAGCCCTGCAAAGCTGTTGGCTTTGCTGTAAGCTGAGCTCAGGCCTCGAGGGGTCTTGTCCTGTTTGCTGTTTCCATCAGAGTTTGTGGGGTCACTTGAGCTGGGAGCGAGAGCCAGGAGCCCTGGGGTGCATCAGCTGTGCCCGAGCCACCATGCTGGCACGTGGTGGGAGAGCCCGAGCTGGACCTGCGAGGCCAGCAGCACTGCCAGGGTTCCCGGGGCTGATGAGGCCCCATGGGCGATCTCCTGCCCATCCAGTGCCCCAGATGGCATGAAATGACCTTCTAAGCATGTGTGAGGTCCGGTTTTTCTCCTGGCAGTCTGACACCAAAAATCTCCTCTTTGACAACCCCACTAAGCCTTATAAGTGTGGAGAGGACTTTTCAGGACTTCCTTTGCAAGCTCTCAGTCATTTCTGGACCTTCTTAAAGCTGCTGGGATTAGAGAGTCAGCCAGTTGCTCCAGGCTCTTGTTTCCCTCTCCATGTGATCCCCCTCCATCCCACTGCTGACCACGCACACCCGGCCTGGCAGCATGCCTCTTGCAAGATGCAGGACCCGGCTGTCCCCACCGTGTGCACAGAGGACTGTGAGGACCCCTCATTCCCACCCACCCAGGGCTCACCACCGTGAGCTCGGAGGCCATTTCCAGATGTCAATGCAGCAGCAGGCTGCTTTTTGCTTTTGCTCAAAACCAGGGTTTAAGCCGCCACGTATATAAAGAAATCCCTGTTATAATTATCTTCCTGGCACTGTCATTTGTCTGAGCCCTTAGAAGAGGGCTTAGCTTCAGGCTACAGTGAAGAGCACTAAGCAATTGCCACGTTGTCAGTTAGAAAAGACGTGGTTTCTTTTCTCTTCTCTTTTTTTTTCTGCCTAAAATTTTTTCCAGATGTCTTTTTTTTTTTTTCTTCCTTAGGAGAAGTACGAACAGCTGTATGATTTCAATGCGAGCCGTGACTAATCCAGCGCAGAGAGCATTCAACAAGAGCATTCAACTCCTCAGGGTGTGAATCAAGCAAATGAAACTTTGGCTTAGGGGATGTGTGACCTCTGGAGCCAAACTGGGCCTACGAGTGGCACTGAGCTGCACGTGGGAGCTATGGACACTTGTGGTGGGAGGAGAAGATGCTCCAGGTGCCACAGGTGGTTGGCTGCATTAGAAGGACCCACGGGGTCTTAGACACCATCACAAAGCTGGCCTCCACATCGACTCGAGAGGGTCGTGTGGGGTATTTATGGCTGTCTCTATGAGTGATATCAACATCCACCTATTTGCACCCAGGGATGGCTTTTGAGTGATGTGTAGCCAAGTAAAGAAATGGGTGAAGAAGACTTTCTTCTCTTGTACTTTGCCACGAGCCTCTGGAGCTGCCTGGTCACAGAGATCGACCGTCTCACTGTGAAGTGATGATGGTTTCTCATGGCCCCCTCCCCTATCTTTCCCTTCCCCTTTCCCTTTCTGTTTTGTTTATTTTTTGTTTCTTGTTGGCCATATGGATGTTTAGTCTTACATCTGTTTCTTTCACATGCAGCAGAAGTGCCGCAAGGCCGAACAAGGAGTGACCTGATAAAGAATCACAAATCATGAAGTACCAGGCATCCTACAGAGCAAGCAGCCAGCACCGCCCAGCAGGTCGTGACAGGCCAGTTCCTATGTTGACATCTAAATCCTCAACAACATCAGTGGGAAGAGTTAAGCAGCCAGGTCGGTGTCTCAGCCCCTCTCAAAGATAGCGTGTAATCATGAGGAAGGAACCCAAACCCCAGGCAGCCAAGACAAAACACGATGTTGCATTTTGTTATAGTCTTGGGTGTCCTTCACCCAGCATCCACAATCAGACCGCTGGTGCCCAGATGACTTCTCCTCAGTCCTGCTGGCTACACAAGCCACCATCTTTCCAGCAGTCCCTGGAGAGCAACCTTGCATTGCCCTGGATGGGGCGAGGGTTGGTGCCACAGGCGGATCACAAGCTGCCAAGAGTTGGACTATGTGCAAGTGTTCAGGACAGCCCTGTGTGTCATGGAGACACTCTTCAGGAACACCCAAATTCCAGCAATTTTTGGCTCCTGTATTTACTATGCAATGCAGCACCGTGGCCATGCTGGTGCATAAAGGTGTGCTGTCTGGTTCTGCCAGGGGATTAGATGAACCTTAACTCCTCTTAGTCATGGTGAGATGCAAGGAGAGAGGAGCTGGGTTTTCACCTTGAGCATAGAGAGGAACAGATAGGAAAAGTCAACTCCAAACATCTTTGCTGTCTGGCTGCCTCTGGCTGGGCAGGTGCTCCAGCTGAGTTACGATCCGCAAGGTCAAAATACTTAGTGATGTCTGAAGAGGCCATCGGATTCAACTGACCAGCAATTTCGGCTGCGGGTTTTGCTCAATCAGTCCAGATCTGCTGGACAATAACCACAGCAGAGAGACCAATCTGCTGAGAGTCACACCTACCAGCCCACCATTTCTCTGCCTACTTGAAGCATATTTCAGACATGTCATAACTCTCCATATTCTCTGGATCATTCTTTCCTCTCCCTCCCCACAAGGCAGTCCCAGGTGGCAGCACTGTTAGGAGAGAGGATGGGGGAGTGAGGACTCTCCTGCCTTCCTCTGCATCCCCCTGAGGATGGGAAACACCAGCTCAGGGACTGAACTCCCCCATTGTGAAATGACAGCATTTAACATTTTAATTGCAGCAGGCCAAGGTGCGAGGAGGTGCACAAACCAAGCAGAGAGATGGTATTCCTCCCTGCTCCCCCCATGCTGTTAGTCCGAGAGAGCCAGAGAACTGACAAACTCATTGCAGCAGTGCAGGCAGCTGCCGTGACACTGACTCTGCTGGGAAAGGTGCGCTGGGGCTGATCTGTCCCTGCGAGAGACCCCCTTGATCTCCAGCCCTGCTTGATTTCTCTGGTCTATCCTTTGGACCCAGGCTGTGCCTCAGCCTGTCTTTCGGGCGCGTGGGACTGCCCACTGGGGAGAGAGGGAGAGGAAGAGACCGATTTGGAAAGATAGCGAGGAGGAGGAGGAGGAGAGGCAGTGGGAAACCCAGCCCACCCTTTGGCTTCCTCTTGCCTCCTTCTAAAACCTGCAGATTCCTCCAGCCCGTCCAAGCGCCTGAAGTTTCCTCAGCCCTGCTGCCAGGACTGCGAGGTATGGCCCGAGACCTTCGCGTTTGCCTTTGCTGTCCTATTTCTCCTGGCATGGGGGGCCCGATAGCCCCACTCGCGGGGGTCCCTGGCCCGTGGGGTGCGTCCAGTGCTCGGCAACGCATCACTCACGGTGGGGAGGTGGACGCTCCCGACCCCAAATGATGCATTTAGAGACCCCTCCTGACTTCTTCTCTTTCTCCTCTTTGCAGCATCTCCGCTCCTAAACTGAGTCTGTTGCTGTATTTCACGGCCAGATTGCCAGCTTTAACACTTTGGTGGCATCTGACTGTAAAGCTTTAACCTGCCCTAATTTTTCTCTCTCCTCCCTTTTTCCCCTCTGGGTTTTCAGCTGTGGGGTATTTCCTTAGCGAGATGCACAAGACCAGTGTCTGCCACATCAAACCAACCTGCAGAGCAAATCAGCTCTAGTTACAAACCAGTCCTGATTATGCCCAGCCTGGGGTGCCTTGGCAGGTGACGGTTTACTCACCAGAATATCTAGAGGAAGAACAAAAGAGCTGTCGACTTCATCTCAGCTTTTTCTTTTTAATACAGCCGCTCTTATTTCTCCTTAAAAAAAAAAAAAAAAAAAAGACACTCAGCTTTTTGTTCCAAGCAGTCTTTGAAACCATTTCAAGTCCTGCCCTGGTTTGCTTAACTCCAGCTCATCAACTGTTAGAGAGACGGAGGTTGCAGGAGAAGTGGAACAAAGCTCTGTTTTGTTTTGGGTTTTTTTAAAGTTTTAAGAACTTGGGCTGAGTAAGGCACAATTTTAGATCCACGCAGAAGAGCCGAGGGCCTGTTTCCTTTAAAGGCAGCCGCTGTCCTTCCCGTCCCGGTGACGTGCGTGGCAGTTTAACTCTGCTCTTTGTGTCCCTCCTCTAAGAAAGCTCCGCTCGGTTGCATCCAGCCAAGAAAAGGAAAACTTAACAGGATGGGGGCTGAATTCCCACCCAAACCGAAGGGAACAGTTTCAAGTTGCAGTGATATCGGGGGCACTGGGAAGGTTGCCAGTACTCCGAGCCCTCAGTTACCACCAACTTGAAACAGCCCAAAAACTCAGCAACGCCGCAAAAGGACAAAATTAAACCGCAGCTGTTTGTTAGGGTCAATCAGGCGAGTTGTAAGTGGAAATAAATGGCTGTCGCGTTCTGCGCAGCAGTTACAGCCAAGCTATTGTCTGCCACATAGGCAGGAGCAGGGATGCGGGCGGTGTTGGGAGGGGGAAGAGGCGAAATAAACTTTTCAAACTTTTTTTCAAGCCCCTCCTTCCACAACCCTCTGCTCTTCCGTGACTCAGCCCCAGAGGAATGTCTGCTCCCATGGAAACCCTTTCTGGGTCCTCTGGTCGGAGGGATGTCGGGGCTGTTATCGCTGGAGCGGCTGTGGCAGGGCGAGCCCAGGGAATGCTTTGAAGATGGTTTGCATTTTTGCAGAATATAGCGGACAGTTTCTTCTCTCTCTCCTGTGTGGAGCTGTGCGAGATCAGCTTTCTGTATCCCCCAGGAGCCGGAGGGACCGCTTGCACCTGGCACAGAAGTACCCAGGCTGCTTTTGGTACTGCCCCATGTCCAGTCCGAACAAAAGAAAACGCTCAGGCAGGACAGCAAAATGATGTGTCGCCTGCCCTTCCGACAGAGGGCTGCAAAGAGCTCAGTATGCACTGCTGCTTGTAGCCCAGGTCTCATCCATGCGCTTTTCTTGGTAGTAATTTAATTGTTTCCCATTATGGATGCAATTTGCAACGTAGACAAACTATGACAGCTACAAGCCAGCCCACAACTATAGTGGCTCTTGCCCTTGTATCAATAAGCCCTGTAAGATCAGGAGCATTTTTAAGTGCAATCAGAGGTGCTCAACTCCCTGAAACGGGAATGGGTTAATACAGCGTTGTGGTGTAGATGTGTCTTTAGTGACTCTGCATGGACAGATGTGGTAGATAGATTTTTTTTCAGGGCGGTTTACTGGGAGTGTGTAAGCGTGTGCATGAGCTAAAGGGAATTTCACTTCCATCTAAACCTCGCTTGGCTTTGTGAGCCTGCACGCTGCATGCGAGGGCACTGCGCAGGTGGCAGGAGCCAGGCTGGCTTCTGCCCAGTCCTCTGCTCCTGCCCTGCTCCCCTGGGACCTGGTGCAGCTGCAGCACGTCTGGGCGAGCTGGCACCCCCAGCAGCACGTTTGACGAGCATGGACCTGTTCAGCAGAATACTTTATGGGTACTCACACAAACAACTCTGACTTCAAATCGAATTTTAGTCTGGGAGTGGCTGGCTGAGTAAAGCTCAGAGGGTCTTGCAGAATATATAGGGAGGTCAGGGCCAGACAGTGGGGTCACAGCCCTCGTGTTGCGTTTCTGTGGTGGCCACACTTGGTCACCCATCTGCACCTTGAAAACTGTGGCCCACGGTGGGGTTTGTAGGCAGAAGCTTCTTCTGGGCCTGTCCTGCATTTATGTTCAGCGGTGCTGGGGCACGTCAGACCCTGCAGAGCCTTGGAACAGCAATGAGCAAATGGCGGGTGGGTGCAGGAGACCCTGCCGCTTGGTCTGGCTGCCTCCCGCGTCACCAGGCTGGGGTGCAGGTGGGGAGCTGAGACATGGGAAGGTTCTTGCCCAACGATTACCCACTCCTGCTCTCAGCTGCTGGCGATGGGTGGTGGCAGCAGGGCCTCTTGCCCGGGTTAGCGGTGGAGGCAGCTGGGGTTATCCCAGTGGCCTCAGGGAGGAGCTGTCAAAGTGGCCAGGCAGAGACTCCTCCCCACGCTAACGTGGCATCCCAAAGGGCTTATGCAACCCTGGCCAGGGCCAGCGCCACATGGGCCACACTCCACCATCCACAGAGCCTCCTCCAGAGGCTGCACCCACCTGGTTCTTGTTCTTCCCCAGCCCTCAAAGGCCCCAGACTGGGCGGGATGAGACAGGAGGGACCTAACAGACCCCAGTGGCACAGACTCTCCTCCGTGCATCACTGCGGGGTATTTTCCCCAGCAGCAGAAACTTATTATGGTGCTACAGGACTGTGGGAGGGAGGTAAAGAGCTTGCCAGAGTAGCCTGCTTTGAATTTATGGAGGTGCTGAGGGTCAGTTTCAGACCTCTCTACACCCCATGGCTCTCTTGTTAGGGACATGGCTGCAAAATGCAATGAGCAGCTCGTGCTGAGGGATAGCCCGGACCATGCTAGAAAGGTGAACTGTCCAGCGGGATTTATGGGAGCCACAAGACAGGGACAGGGAGTTGAAGTCCCCACTTAGGATGCCGTGAGTCCTGCAGCCCATGGGTGCCAGGTGCTCTCCTCCATCATCAGCAGTCAGGAGGGCAGGCCTGAGGAGGGGGTGGTGACCATGGATATTTATTTTATATTCATATTTATATTCTTATTTTATATTCTCTGTGCCCACGATGTGCTGGTTTCCAGTGTGTCTTGCAAAGTCCTGGCTTCTGTTGATTCCTTTAAGATACAGAAGGGTATAAGGTCCCTGCTTGCTAAAACCTCTTTCCCAGTCCTGTTTTCCTCTGCCCAAAATGACCCCTGGCTGTGCCCCATTGCTCTGCCCCTCATGCTGCCCGCTGCCCTCTGCCCTCTGCGGGGCTTTTGCAGAGCAGTACCGGGCATTCCCAGTGCAGGGCCCCTCGCAGGGATCCCCCTGAGCCCCTCCAGCTGAAGGATGGATGCTGAGCTCTTGGTATGGCCCAGCTGCCAGCTCCAAAGAGCATCTGCTTGGACAGCAGGACCATGGTAGGTCCACAGGGAGACTTGCACCAGTGACTTGCACTGTGGGCCAGGCTCTTCTGCTGGAGCAGCTCTGTGTGCAGGGCTCCTGAGCCGTTATTTCAGGACTTTTGGCTGCCAGGCATTCAGGAAAGACCATGCCTTTGCAAAAAAGCCAGGGGCTCACAGGCGCTGCAATGTCCTCTGTGCAAAGGCTCTGCCTCCAGGAGGATGTTGTTTTTCAAATAAACTTGTTTTCCCATCTCCGGCGCGAGACAGCTCTGCAGAGCTTGTTTGCTCAGACTCTTTCGTGCTCCTTCTTCCTCCAAACACAACACTGGCAGCTCAGACTGTCTGCTGGCTCCTAGCAAGCATGTAATTCCCTGACCCCAGCTCATTGCATGCCCAGACTTTGAAATTCAGGGTTTTTTTGGGCTTGGGGAAACAATCTGAGAGGGCTTCGGTCTGGGGTTGTGTTCTTCTTAAAGCCGTCTTCCACGTGTACAGGCACTGCCATCTCCTCCAGGCTGGGCACTGCCGTGTTTCTGCCCAACGAGCATCACTGAACCTCAGAGCATCTTCCAAAGCAAACAAGCCCCTTGGGAGAAGCCCAGAAGGAGCCTTTACAAGCCAGGGGATGGCAGCAAGGGAGGAGATGGACAGATTCACCAGTACTTTTCCACCTCCCCCCCCAAACCACCCCTCCAGAAGTGAAGAACCAGTGATCTCTCCCGGCAAATGCTGGGAGAGCTCTCAGCGGCCTCCAGAGCAAATAAAGGCGAGGGGAAGGGATGGCATGTACCGAGCGGGAGAGGAGGGAGCTGGTCAGCTGCAGCATTGCCAGAGCAAATGGGCTTACCCACCACCAACCCCTCTCCCCACAGGTCCTCCATCCCACCACGGCAGCCATCCCCACCACCCCGTGCTCCCAGCCCTCTGACCTCCCTGGGAAGCTGTCCTCCATGCCCTGACACCTATTTTGCATGGGCATCCTGCCAGGGCTGGGTGAGGTGCTGAGATTGGAAGGAGGATTTCAGCCTCTACATGGCCAAACCTTGCTAAATTAGAAAGCACAGCCCAGGCTGGCTGGTGCCCTGGCAGCACAGCGTTGGCTTGGTTTTATACCTGGAAAGCTGCCGTGCATGGGGAGGAAGGGAAAGGATGCCCTGGCAAATTAGATATCCATCCATGCTCGCTGGGAGAGAAGACGACACCTCGTCCAATACTTTCGGTCCCAGCAAAGCCATCCATCCGCCCAGCCCCAGGGAGCTGGTGGGCTGCGATGCCCCGGCCACGCAGGTGGAGCGGAGAAGGGCGAGCGGAAGGGAGGCAGCGGAAGCCTTGGCAGGGAGACAAGTCCCCTCGCTGGCAGGAGACAGACCGGGGGTGTTTCGCTCCGGAAGGGAGCGGGCAGCCCTCGCTGTCAGGATTGGGATGCCACTGGCATATTAAGTGGCCAGCTGAGCTCCTCTCTGCCCTCACACAGAGGGGCTCAATCCTGCCAAACAGGAACCGGCGGGGACAAGGACAGGGTGATTTCACCAGCTGCGCTCTCCTGGCTCGCATCGCAGCCAGTGTTAGCTGGGCTGCCTGGCTCACTGGTCCACAGAGTCCCTGCAACAGCCCATCGGGAGGGTGCAAAGGGCTCATCCTCCTGGAGCTCATCTCCTGGTAGGACACAACCCAAAGTGTCCTGGATCCCTCAAACCCAGTCTGGAAACCCTCAGGTCTGAGCAGAAAAGGGAAAAACTATAGCAGAGACCCCAACATTGGTGCTGGGGACGGGGGACTGGTCCCTGATACATCCAGAGATGTCTGTGTCCATGTGGAAAGGGGTTTTCTACTGGATTTAATTCTCCAGTGTCCCGTCTCACCGTCTCTCTGTTATCTCTTTCTCCACTTTCATTTTTCCTCTGATTGACAAATAAAATGGTAGAGAGTTTCATTGCTTGTACCTGGTGATCATATCAGGGTCTTTTAACATGAAAAACGTTTTTTTGGGTCCAAAAAAACTCCTGTGAAGGAAAGGGGAACTGCCATTTTGACTGCAATTTTTCTAAAGGCATCCAGGAAAGCAATAGAAATCTAAACCCCTGCCATCTCATTCTGCAAAATCAAAAGAATTTGTCTTGGAAACATGATTTGGCTTAAGATTTTGGCTAGAAAAGCCAGCATGTGGGGCTGTAATATTGAACAGACAAGGAAGGAAACAAAGAAAACGCCCTTTTCTAAGCGTCTGACTGCCAGCGTGAGCTCAGCCTGGAGCCGAGCGGCACGCGGTGGCCTCCTTCCTCATCCCTCCTTTTCCTCTCCTTTATTCAGGGTTTGCTGAAAGATGAGGGTCTGGATTTTTTTCCTTCTCTGCCTGGCAGGCAAAGCCCTGGCAGCTCCGGTAAGTACAGTAGACAACAGAGCCTCTCTGCTGTCAGGGTTGTCCATCCAGTGTATCTGATGGGAATTTTCTTTTATAATTAACAAACCCCTGGGGGATGGGGGGCAGCAGGAGGTGGCCCTACTGCGTGCCCCGGTGGGTCACCCACCTTGGGACCGTCCTCCCCACGGGCCCCGGCTCATGGTCCTTTTCCCCTGCAGCAGGAGGCTCTGCCTGATGAGACAGAGGTCATTGAAGACCCCACCACCGAGGTAGGTAACTGCTCCTCCTCAGCACCCATCCCTTGCAGCACCCACTGCCCTGGGAAGAGCATCTCCAAAGCACAGGGGGGCTGCTCTGCCCCGCAGGAATGGGGCCCAGGTCTTTTGGCACCCCTACCAGACACACTGACCTCTTTTGCAGGAGCCCGTGGGTGCTAACCCTGTCCAGGTGGAGGTGGGAGAGTTCGAGGAACCCACGGAAGATGTAGAGGAGATTGTCGCAGAGAGTAAGTCACTCCTCCCCTGCCCTCCAGCAGTCAGAGACATCGTCCCTTCCCTGGCTGGGGAAGCTTTAGCTGCCCCAAACAGTGAGGGACTTCTTTGGGAAGGGCTGTAGCACAAGGACAATGCCAACCTAAACGCACACTTAAAAGCAAAAGAGGTGCATGGCCTCTTTCCAGCACTGGGTTCTCTGTAAGCCCTTTTTTGCAACAGAAAAGCCATTGCATTGTGTGGCTACAGAAAGGAGCCCAGAATTAGCCTGAGGGCTAACATGGACTTCTGGAAACCCTCACATCTTCCCAGTGCAGGGCTGTCCCTGGTGAAGTCTCTGTCTTCTCTCTGTGCTGAGATGCCCCGGGCAGCTCGTGGGAGGTGAGGATGGGGCAGGCTCTGACTTTGCTCCCTGCCCTCTCCCAGACCCCTGCCAGAACCACCACTGCAAGCACGGCAAGGTGTGCGAGGTGGATGACAACAACGCGCCCATGTGTGTGTGCCAGGACCCCTCCAGCTGCCCAGCCACCGCCGGCGTCTTTGAGAAGGTGAGGGCAGAAGCTGCTTGATGGACATTGAGGGAGGGACCTCACATGGGACATTGCCGGACATGGTGGGGGAGACAGAGTCAGGGTGGCAGGTCCACCATCTGGTCTCGGCCAGTGGTGACCAAGGAGCTGTTGTTCACCCCAGGAAACAAGTTAAACATCTCATTTGGAGGCTCTCCCTGCTGATCCCTCCAGTAAGGCTGGGCTTCGCTGTCCCTCATGCAGCATCTCCCCATCCTATGCAGGTCTGTGGCACCGACAACAAGACCTATGACTCCTCCTGCCATTTCTTTGCCACCAAGTGCACCTTGGAGGGAACCAAGAAGGGACACAAGCTGCACCTGGACTACATTGGGCCTTGCAAATGTAAGCAGAGCCATTCCCTTAGACAAGGGGACCCCTAAATGGAGCACAGCCCCCTTGTCCATGGGCTGAGGGAGAGCAAAGGTCCAGGCAGACACAGGGCTGAGGTGGGAAGGTGCTGGGGGGGTGTGTCTGGGGTCTGGGACTGCATGTCCAGGTGCTATGTTGACCACTGTGTATGGCTTCCAGTCATCCCCGCCTGCCTGGACACAGAGCTGACCGAGTTCCCCCTGCGCATGCGGGACTGGCTCAAGAACGTGCTGATCACCCTGTATGAGCGCGATGAGGACAACAACCTGCTGACCGAGAAGCAGAAGCTCAAGGTGAGGGGTTGGGGAGGAAGCCTGGGAGCTCACCTCACCAACAGAGCCCAGCACACATAGGGAGCCCATCCAGAATGACCTGTGGACACCCCATGTAAATCGCTTCTCAGGGTCCCCCCCTTACACCCCATTCCCCTGCTGACAAAGTCTCCCTGGCCTCTCCTATGACAGGTGAAGAAAATCCACGAGAACGAGAAGCGCCTGGAGGCTGGTGACCACACTGTGGAGCTGCTAGCCCGCGACTTTGAGAAGAACTACAACATGTACATCTTCCCTGTGCACTGGCAGTTCGGGCAGCTGGACCAGCACCCCATTGATGGGTGAGTGTCAGCAGAGCGGGATGGAGGTGCCTGCTAGGACCCCTTCCTGCCCGAGGAGAAGGGTGATTTGGCGGCAGAAGATGTCAAGGCTGGAGATGTGCCACAAGTGGGTGGCTGGTGGCAGAGGCACAGGCAAAGCCCTGTGGAGGGACAACCCCTGCACACATCTGGCAGGGGCTGGGGCAAACCAGGCTGGGGTAGAGGCAGTTTTACTGTCTGCAAACAGGTCTTCTGCAGAAAGAGGGGCCTCCCCCAGCCCCAGCTGCTCCCATCTCCCTCGCGTGGAGTTTCTGTCTTCTCAGATTTACTGTCGTATGATAGTTCCCTAAAATATCCTAGTCCAAAGGCCCTGGGATAACTTCAGCAGCTGAAATAGCAGCTGCTGGCTTAGCTGTGAGCTGGAGATGGGCATGAGAGCGATCACACACACAGGCACATGGGGTGGGGGCAGCTGGTGAGCTGTGTGACTGGCACAGCCGGTTGCAAAAGCAGACACCCATCCTTGACCTTCATGACACCCAGTGGTGGATACCGGGAGGGCACTGGGACAGCAGTCAAACCAGAGGGAGAGCTGGGGCCAGCATCTTGCCCTGCGCTAGTCCCCGCACCTGACAGAGCATCTCTCCTCCTGTGGGAGGATGGCTGGCGGTGGTGGGCAGCGTGTTGACCATGCGGTCACCTTGGCAGGTACCTGTCCCACACTGAGCTGGCCCCGCTCCGTGCCCCCCTCATCCCCATGGAGCACTGCACCACCCGCTTCTTTGAGGCTTGCGACCTGGACAACGACAAGTACATCGCCCTGGAGGAGTGGGCCAGCTGCTTCGGTATTAAGGAGCGTAAGTACTGAGTAGGGAAGGAATGGAGGGACACCAAAAAGCACCCCCAGAGCCCCCACTCGGGATGAAGCAATGCATTACAGCCAGTCCTGGGGAGGGAAAAGCAGGGAGGGGGGATCACAGGAGCAGTGGGACCTTGGGAGCATCCGGGTCCGGGGCAGCATCCGCCTCCTAACCTCGTCTCTCTCTTTTCCTTCCACAGAGGACATAGACAAGGATCTTGTGATCTAAACCCCCAGCTTCCTTCTCTGCTGCCAACTTTGTCTTGTTTTAAGCTTCCCACTTCCTTCGGTTTTTAAACCGCTTTTGTTTTGTTTCGTTTTTCCCGGGAACAAGGTGCTAATATAGATCAAAACGTATGTAGTAACGGTGCTAAGAGAAATAACAGTCCTCATTCATAGCCTAATCTATTACCACTAGATTACTCACTCGGCTGTTTCCACGTGCTCTTGCCAGCCCTTTCTCTCTCTGACATGTCTTTACCATTGACTGACCCTGTTCCTGTCCTAAATATCCGCTCTGCTCTTGGATTGACTTCTCTTAACTCCTTACTAACAGCGCACTCTTGGACAAGTCAGCGTAGACGCACAGACCTCTCAGCTGA